AGGGTTTAGGGTTTAGGGTTACACATACAGGGGCCTAAGTAGTGCTACTACTGTTGGAGGTTCCTTCTTATAAGTACTGTATAAAGGGCCCCCCCAACCCGATTCTAAGCATTAAGGCCCCCTATATTCGGAGCAGTCATCAATTCTGTTGTTCATGTGGTAATGTCATCATATCGAAGAGAATTAGTAGCAGGCATGTAAGAACACAGCAGGGCATACCAGGTATGCACGGACATGGAAGAGCATGTAGGACGCATCCCCCGGCATAGCTAAACCCTAAACCCTAAACCCTAAACCCTAAACCCTAAACCCTAAACCCTAAACCCTAAACCCTAAACCCTAAACCCTCATGCGCGATTGAATGCAGGTATGCGAACATACATAAGGAACCCCCCTATCTTCGGCCCTGGAGCCTGGATCTACTGCAAGTTTTAGGGTTGAGGGTTTTAGGGGTTTAGGGTTTAGGGTTTTAGGGGTCTAGGGTTTAGGGTTTAGGGTTTAGGGTTTAGGGTTTTAGGGGTTTAGGGTTTAGGGTTTAGGGTTTGAGAGGGCTCCATAGGGCTTTAGGGTCAGGGGACTTAGCAAGTAAGTCATGGTTGGGGTTGTAAGTACTGCGGACCCCGGGTTCAAGGAGCCCTTACCTTTGAGGGCCACGCTTTAGGTGTCTCTCTGTGTGTGTGTGTGTGTGCGTGTTAATCTGTCGTTATTTATGAGGTGCTGCAAAAAACAACAACCGAGCCCTCATGGCTTCCGGCAGCGGCTTAAAGGATCAGGGGGCTTTGCAGCTAAGTAGGGTTGTAAGTAAGGGTTTAGGGCTTAGGGTAACTGCGGTAATGACACTACTTTTAACCCAATTGGTTAAACAAGCAAATGTACTGAAGCATCACCTTACAAACCCGAAACCTAGCACCCTATACCTGAAACCCTGCTTATAACCTTACTCAGCTTCAAGGATCATAGGACTTAGTAACTACGGTTATAAATAAGGTAGCTATGCTTATCACTACTTATAACCCCATTTAAGATACTTATAACCTTACTTACTACGTCCCATGACCCTCCAAGTACCGAAACCTAGCCCTAAACCCAAGCAACAAGCAAACCAACAACAACCCACGAACTTACGGACTCCTCGATGCACGGGCATGAAAGTTCAAAGACCAGCGAAACACTCCGAAACACACATCACACTCAACCCTAAACCCTAAACCGTGGAAAGACAGCACAACTTCGCAAAATCAAAGCATTCGACAGCCAACCCACAACTGCCAGGGCCATCAAAGTGCCCACCAACGAAACAGCCCAGCCACCAAGCGATCAAACAAGCAATCAATCAACCCACCCGCACACCCACGAACCGAGCTGCCGAAGCAACCGATGACTACCTCCTCACCACTAAACCCTAAACCCTAAACCCTAAACCCTAAACCCTAAACCCTAAACCCTAAACCCTAAACCTCAAACCTTACTTAGCTTGAAGCGCAGGCCATGGGATGCCTTGAGCGAATAATGCAGGCTCGGGGGG